TATATATATATATATATCAATATTATTGCCATGCTCTTTTACCTTCTTTTTATTAATTCATAGCTTTCTTGATAAATATCCATATTACCAGTGCGTGTTAATAATTCATTTGCTAATTCTGTCAACTTAATTATGCTGACAGAATTGGGATCTTCCTCTTCTTCGCACGTTTTAGATTCTTTTTTCTTTTTCCATCTTTCAGCTGTGGTTAATTTCTTTTTCCTTTACCTGGATTGGGACAACTTGTATTTACTTGCGATAGTTTGAACACATGCTCTATTAGTATTATGTTTACCAAGTCTGCATAACGTCTTTGAGACAGTTTCACCAGGTTTAAGATATTCTAAAATCTGTTTATATAACGGAATAGGATCAAACATAATATCTCCTTCATCATCACTATCACTATCTCCCAATCCATAATTTTTATTTGATTTTGTACTCTTTTGTACATTAGCGGTAGAACCAGGTTTGACCTGTAAGAAATGCTTGTAATAATATTTTAAATAAACAAAATTTATTATATTGCTTAAAAAATAACATTAATATATTATATTACAATTATCATTTTAAAAATTAAAATATAATGTAATCCTCGAAAGTACAAAAAGCACAAAATTACAAAGGATTCAATAATTTGACACATAAATGAAATAGATATTATGTTGTATTTATTTATCTCACTAACTTGGACCCAATCAATATTATCCAACCAGTTATCCCTTATTTGCTTCTCTTTTTTCCAAAGATAATGGCCATCTTTATCAAAGTGACCTTCTTCCAATTCTTCTTTCATATTAAATGCTGTAAATCCTACATTTGCTTCTGGTGCCGAAGGTCCATCTTCTGTACCTGGTGGACAAATATAATTTGATTATACCACAGTTTTATCAGATATATAAATTATGAATAATAAAAATAAAAATGAAAAATGTAATATATTCATTTATTTACAAAAATAAATATATCATTGCACATCTAGATTCAAATACCTTCAAATTCATCTTCGTTCATGATGTTATAGGTATCCTCATTTACCTCATCATCATCTTCATCAGAATCCAATGAGTTCTTAAGCGGTTGCTTAGTAAGCATATCTTTCATATCATCAAATTTGCGTTTCGACATGGTTTCTGTATACAAGTAATCTTTACACTGAGGATAAGATACTACAAAATTAAAAAATTGTCACTTGAGATTTTATTTATAATAATAACTTAAGTAATTGTCAAGTATTCTAAAACTTAAATAATTGTCAAATAATTTAGAATATAACTAAAAACATATTTAAAAATATATTCATAATGATTGAATATTACATACAATAGAAGCAATAAAACGATGTTATTTGCTCTAGAAAATTCCTGTATAAATTCGTAGATACTCGAATATATCAAGGGGTTAGTTCGCGATTCAGGTTATATCACCTACGACGTAATTCTCGAACGACGTTATTTCGCCTTTCGTTTCAAAACATCAAGCGACTTGTTTGCAAACGTTTCTATTCACAATTTAAATCCGCGTCCGACACTCAACGTGGGTAAAACTTCCAAAACTGTATCACTCGACACAACAATCGAACTTCCATCTCGCCTAATCTTGCCAAATCTTGTCCACTCTATCCCCACTCTCGATTGTTTCCTCCGACCCATCATCCGTCATTTCACAATTCCCACGTGATCGCGCATGTGTCAAATGAAAATGTAGAGTTCAGAAAAACAAAGTAGTTTTTTTTTAACGATAAAAGGATATCTATTTTCATGTATTTGACCCTTTTATTTTTTTCAAATAGCAATGAGTAAATAATTGTTAATATTAATATAATCTATTGCTTGTATGTCAAGCCCGATAATCTATTTTATGTCATAATGGAACATTATACAAAAACTTTAAAAATTTAAATATACTATAAAACTTATAAACAAGACAATAAAAATGTTAATTAGGTAATTTTAATATATAATACGATTATATTAACTTATACTATATGCTACACACACACACACACACACACACACACACACACACACACACACACACACACACACACACACACACACACACACACAAATGATATAGCAGATTTTGTTTATGTCTGTTTATGCTTTTATTATATTTTTTTATTTTGAATAGTACAATTCACAATCCAGCCAACCATTTCTTCATGTCGTTACATCATTTAGAAAATGCTTGTTTAATACATCATTCTGTTACAAATTTCCGTAAAGAGCTTTCGATGATAAACTAATAGCTTTATGCTTTCACAATACAAAGTATATATACAAAGTATATATCTTTGCCATATGTTATTGATCTAATAATCTTATTTGCTGAAAGTAATATCAATACAATGTACAACATTAATATTTTGTTACGCATTTCTTTTCAATATTGCTGTAAATAAATAATTATTCCATATACTACAATTTCTGAATATTTGGAACGTTGTTCGTCCAAATTGGGAAATGAAATTTCTTCTAAACTATGACTAATAATTACGACTAATAATTTCTAATTCATGTCTTGATTAAATGCAAAACGTGTGTCCAAACGTAGTATAAGAATAATGTAATGTTTGATCTCTTATATTATTTGATGTTAACAATTTGATTCCATGATTTTGGTATCTACAAACATATTATAAAATGTATACTGCATATTGGAAATAATTATTGTATATTCATAGTATATTAATCTGATAGGACCCGCGATTGATTTTGCAGAGAAATGTAGATATATAAGTATCTTATAGTTTATCTTAATAAAACCTTGACGAAATATTTTATATCTTTTATCTTTTATAATTCACAAAAGAAAAGAAATATTCGTATAATTATCTCTTAAAAATAGATACAATTACAAATTCATGATAATTATATGCTGTGCGACAAATGAGCTTTTCTGGATTAATATAAGGAATACTTTCAGGTACATGCTAGTTATTAGGAAACGTTTCGTTTAACTAATATCACATATATAAATGAAATAAAGTAAGAAACAATTATATAGAACACATATAACAGCACAGTTATAAATAATATGTATAAGTAAAGCTATATAGATATAAATCCATTTTTAAATAATTATATAATATATGTAATATTTGAAATAGATAAAATAACTAAAACATTTTCTTAAAACATTTTCTTAAAATTATTACAAATGTCTTTTATATAAATATCCTTTATAAGTTGTAATTTAAATCTTAATAAATATATATGTATTAATTATGCAATATTAATTAATTCATATATATACTATTTCTTAGAATATTATACATATATATATTTTAATGAATACATGAAATTTGTTAACAAATAGATACCTATTACATACTTTTATAAATTACAAGATAGAAATATATTCTTTATATGAATTATAATAAAAACAATATGTCGTGAATTATTTGATAAAGAGCAATTTTTTTCTTTCTTTATATTTATTTGTTTATTTATATTTATATTGTGTATATAACATATATATATATACATATGTGTGTGTGTGTGTGTGTATGTGTGTGTGTGTGTATGTGTGTGTGTATTATGGTATATTATGTATCTCATTATTGAAATTGTGGTAAACAGATTTTGAAAAAAGCAATGTTACGATATATATAAATGCTAATTGTATAAAAGATAATATCTATTAAAAAAGATGTTTTTACAAATTAGGAAGTATGATATCAATCATACATCAATTTTAAAAAGTAGAATAAAACAAGTGTTTCTGTAAGCTAACATTATAATTTAGAAAAAATAAAATATAAAAAATATAAATAATAAAGGTAACTTTCAACTTTTTTTTATCACAATGTTGAGCTACGTATTTCTATGGCATTTTAATACGCGGTATCTTTAGATAACAGATAAATGGAAGTACTGTAAAGTTCAGTTTTTATGTGTGACTCATATGTGACAAATGTTATTTGCGAAACATTAAATGATAACCATTGCTCAATAATAAACTTATGTACATTTTACAATAAACTGATATGTTATGCCATTTCCTATTTCATTTGACGCTTTGGTTTTATATAATTGAGATGCTAAAGGCTACATTTTGTATTCTAAATGCAAATCATCACTTTTGTTCATTAAAATACATAATATCTTTCATATGATTCATTTTATCTTGCTACGTAGCGTAATTCTATTTTCATCTGT